AGGTTTCTGGGGTTTTGTTTAGCTTCTATATTTGTTACATAGTTTCAAACTGCAGCTCAGAGGCCGGCAAGGCAGGTGGGGAACGTTGGAGTCCTCCATCACTGAAGCAAGCAAGCCTCATGTTAGTTTCAAGCTGCCTGGCTGCCAGCGCCATCTTTGCTGGAAGTTAATTTGCATATACCCCTGATTAGCCAATTGGAAGAGTAGCGGATGTATGGCTAATTACCATGTTTCTCTTTTATTAGATAGGATAATGAGAGCCAGAAATGGACAAGGTACTCTGCTAGACCCAGAGTAACCAACACATGGCCTTTTTCCCCAAGGAGGTTACACTCCAGTGGGAATTAATATAAATCATTATAATACAAAGCATGGTCCATGTGGGAAAAGCTATGTCTAAATATTGATTAATTTTGACAGTGGTGGGGGTTGATAAAAACTTCCAAGAAGGAATTCACATTAAATTTGGCCTCAGAGGATCAACTAAGCTAAGCAGAGAGAAGGAAAAAATCCTGAAGACTGGGATTGGAAATTTCAACAAATATGCAGAGCCAGGAAAAAGTAAAGAATATTTAGGAAGCAAAATTATTTATTATAGGTAAAATGCAGGTGATTTGAAGTCTATAAAACCAGATATTAGGAGAAAGGGGGGTTTAAATGAGAGGTTGAAAGGAATTAAGGGACAGAGGACTGTCAACTCTGTTCCATAATCCATGCCCCAAGAGGGAGACAGCACAGCCAGTTTGGGCTTGGCAGAGACAGTTCCAGTGGCAGTGTCTATGGCGGTTAGAATGAAGACAGATCAGAAGCAGGCAAGCCAGTGAGGACTGAGTTGTCATTGCATGGGAAAGAAGCAATGAGGTTAAGTGGGCTTGAACAGAGGAAATGGCAATGAGAACAGAAGAGAGTAGATGATTTCAGAGACTGTAAAAGTGTTACCAATAAAATAGGGTGACATGGCATAAGAGTGAGGGAGAGTAGGGGTCAAAGCTAATCTGCAAGGGCACTTGTCCTACTAATTTGGTGCACAAAGGTCAGACACATTGACAGCATTGTGATTCTGTCAAGCCATTCGTTCATCCTGAACTATTCCTTTTCCATTTAATTCCAATAGATACTCCAGACCTCCTTCAAAGCTTGGGTCACATTCTACTCCCTGCATTACAGTTACTCAGATTCCCTGCCCCACATCCAGAATCCATCACTTCTATTATAATTGCACAAAATGTTATCTTTACTTCTGCTTTTTCTGTCATAAGTGATTACTTACATGTCTGTTTCTCCATGGGTATGTAAGAAACTTGAAAAATCATATTCCACTTGTTTTGTATTTTTCATAATATCCAGTATGGTGATGTTCAGCAAATAAACTATGGCTATTTAATTTGTGACATTCGTGTGGATATTGTCCATGATTAAGGTGCCCCAGAGAGGCAATATTGAGTAATGACTCTCAAAATGTGATAAGTGTATGCTGGGAAAGTATGGAAAATAATTTAGAGAAGGGAAGATTTTTAATGGTTCTCATTTTATACTTGCAAAATGGAATAATGCCCAAAAGTAAAAATATAATGAACTAGTGATACAAGTAAACAATATAGATGAATCCCAAAAATATTATGTTGAAGAAAGAAACCAAACATAAAAGAATACATCTCATACGATTGAATTTTTATAAAATTTACAAACAGGAAAAGTTCATCTGTTATGGGAATCAGAACATCGGTTGCCTAGAGAAATGGGATTTGGCTAGAAGCGTGTGCAAGATACATTTCTAGAGTTATGAAAATACTTTATATTTTTATTAGGGTATTGATTTTATGGGTATGCATATTCTTTTTTCAAAATATTGGTGTATTTCATTCTAAGCAAACTTTATGTCAATTAAGGGGAAAAAAGAATTTAAAGAAATTTGGGTATCATCTTTTTATTTGTTGATTCCAAGAAATTTTTCTTACTAATTTTATTAGATTACTAGAGGCCCAGTGCATGAAAGGTATATAGAAGTTCATTTTACTATTCTCTCTAATTATGTGTATGTTTAAATTCTTAAAATAAAACTAAATTTTATAAGAAACACTTTGAGATCAACCAAAGGACTTATAGGCAAGCATATAGGCTTAACCAATGGACACAGACAACAGGGGAGTGAAGGCAGGAGGGGGGAGGGAATGGGGGTAATGTGGGGATAAGGACACATATGTAACACCTTAATCAATCAATTTTAAAAAAAAAAACTTAAAGGCTCTTGATGATGGGACACAGCTTGATGACATTGGCTAGGTGGGAAGTGCCA